CTGCAGCCTACGCCGTTGCCGGCGACTCACGGCAGCCCAGCTCCAGGTTGAGCTGTTGTTCAGCATCTTAGCTGTGGAGGGCAGTATCACTGGCCCTCATATGTGGGATCCGAACCGGGGCCCTCTAGCGTTCCAAGCCAGTTCTTAACCATCGCGCCACTCGGCCGGCCCGATCTCTCCTTTTTTCATTAGCTTTCTATATTTAAAGTAACTTTTTGTATTAATCATGATGGCAAATACAAAAGAGCATATGGTAGTCTCAGAATATATGAGGTGTGATCAAACAATAGGGTGAATGTTTAAATAAAAAAAATTTATTATAGTAAAAGACACATTGCCATTAACCCCCCTCAAAGTACTTCCCCTTGCTCCAAACACACTTATCCCATCATTTTTGCCACTTTCTGAAGCAGTTCTGGAAGTCCTCTTAGTGTCTTTCGTTGCGCTGTTATGACTGCCTCAATGTCCTGAATCATTTTGACTTTGGGGAAGAACCAGAAGTCGCATGGTACCAGATGTGGTGAGTAAAGTGGATGAGGACACACCATAATGTTTTATTTGACAGAAATTGCCGTATACCAGAAGCGATGTGTGACACGGAACGTTGTCATGAGGGAAGATGATTTATGGCACACTTTAAGCATACCTTCTCTCAACCGTAGCTCACACCTGGCTGACTGCACCAAACAAGTAGAAACTTGTCATACACTGTTACTGAGGTTCAACGCACTGCTTCCCTTATTGAAGATCCCTGCCTTTCTATTGGATGGCACTCGGCAGCAGCATTCATTGTACCTGTTGATCACAATGGAAAGTCTTCGTGTCACACAGTGCTTCTAGTATGGCAATTTCTGTCAAAAATATTATGGTGTGTCCTCATCCACCTTATTCACTGGATCTGGCATAGAGCAACTTCTAGCTGTTCTCCAAAGTCAAAATGACCATGAAAGGTAAGTGTTTTGGATCGATTCAGGACAGCGAGTCAGCCACGACAGCACAAACTAAAGACACTCAGGAAAGAGGACTTCCAGAACTGCTTCAGAAAATGGCAAGAATGATGGGATAAGTGTGTTCGAAGCAAGGGGGTGTATTTTGAAGGAGATTAATAGCAATGTGTCTTTTACTATAATACATTGTTTAAAATTTAAACATTCACTGCAGTTTTTAATCACACCTCATACTTATATTAATATTTCAAATTAGCATTAAAACAAATTAAAATATTAATACAGACTTTGTATAAGTTTTGGACCTCCTCCATGAAGAATACAGTTAGGTTACTCCTTAGAGACATAGTATAAGGTCATAACAGCATAGACTAATGTGATTTAGGAATAGAAAAGGAGGGATAGCTATGTGAGGGAGCAGAAATTATGGCAGTAGATCCAGTTATAAAGGGAGTAATGGAGCCAAGGATGACTCCAAAGATACAGAGACTGATCTATAAAGCTACAAACTTTACCGTTAATAAAAGTAGGGTAATTTGAAGAAAAAAACATTTGGTGGGTCATCAAGCTAAATCTTTGCAGGAAGAAAAGATATTTGGTTAGAGGTGTGCTTTAGGATTTACTGGGATGGAGGAGCTGAGATGAATAATCGAGTATTTCTCTGAAATGAAAGAATGCATATTTAGGACAGCAGAGGCAAGACTGTTAGGGTTTTCTTCTAAGGTTGGAGGCAAAAAGCAGGGACAGTGTAGGGTCCAAGACGTAAAATGAGAATCGGGATAATCATGCCCCAGAATCCAAGGAAGGCATGTTTTAAGATGGCTGAAGTCAACAGAGTAGGATGTGGCAGAGTATGAGGGCAATAAAGTAAAATATCATTCAGTATGATTATTAGCTGAAATTTTACTTGTTTTCAAGGAAAGTACAGTTACATGTTCTCAATGAAGAATATCTGATTGCAGTGTTGTTTTGGGAGAGTATACTATGTTTTTTTTTTTTTAGTTCATGTCTTTTATTAAACCATATATAATTACTTGTCTTCTGGTTTGTTGAAGCAATAGGTCAGACAACATTTGCCACAATAATGTCTGTCAAAGTGGCTGGCCATAAAAACTCCGGCACCACATTCATCTGAAGGACACTCCCGACGAAGGCGGCTGATTTTGCCATTCTCGTCCACTTTATAGTATTTCAGGAGAGCCAGCTTAAGCTTCTTTCTCTTATGCTTGTTCTTCTTGGGAGTGGTGTAAGACTTCTTCTTCCTTTTCTTAGCACCACCACGAAGTCTCAACCCAAGATGAAGAGTGAACTCCTTTTGAATGTTGTAGTCAGACAAAGTACGTCCATCTTCCAGTTGCTTGCCAGCAAAGATCAGTCTTTGCTGATCAGGAGGAATTCCTTCCTTATTCTGGATCTTGGCCTTTACATTTTCTTTTGTATCCGAGGGTTCAACCTTGAGGGTGATGGTCTTCCCAGTAAGGGTTTTCACGAAAATCTGCATCTTGGCGGTGATTCCACCGCAGATCATGGATTGGAAAGCTACTATTTCTTATTCCTTTGGAATTTTTACCCCCTGTATTCTCAGATTTACTGAAAATCTCTCCCTTAATATAAAATGCTCTGTGATACTTGTTTTGGAAGTTAAAACTAGCTAATTTATTTTGTTTTTAATTTTATGACATCTTTTAAAATAATTGAAGATGTCTTGGGATATCAGACATTTAAGTTGGAACATTTTAAACTTTCCTACCTAAATGGATATTTTAATTCTGCAAAGTACTCCTGTTATAATTTATTTTACAGTTGTTTCCAATATGTAGAAATATGGTAGTATAATTTGGTTAGGTTTGTTTTATGTTGGAATTAAAGGTTGCAGTGTCACCGCGATGGTTTTGAATTGGTTTTAATAGGAAGACAATAAGAAGGACAAAGTGGGAATGGTTTGAAGAAATTTGTAGATATTAGATGATTTCTTCATTGGAATAATTATTTTCAATATTTGCTTTTCAGAAAATCATTTCAAGAAATATACCAATCAGATTCTGAAGGATGGGAATCATCAAAAGATCTGAGAAGTAATCTTGGACATCTAGAATCAGAACTTCTATTTCTAAGTACGCTTACTGGCATCAGTATAAGAAATTACTCCAGGAAGACAGAGAACCTAACAGGCCCTGAGATGACAGAAAAGAGTAAGTGTTCATTTCAATCTAGAAGTGGTAGTGAAGTTTACCTTGTTAAGCATAGGAAATTGGTTGGGATATGGTTAAATTAAAATTGTACAAGGTAACTATTTGAAGTTGTAGTTTTGTAGCGCTGAAACTTGTTTTTTAGGGTGTCTTTTGAACATCATACTTTGTATAATACCCTTTTAAAAGGTGCCTGAGGTGGATGCTGAAGAAGAAACAGTCTCCCATTAAGTAACTTAATAGTCACGGAACAGAGATAAGTATTGTATGAACAACAGTACCATTAATTTTGTAATTCTTAGGAGTTGTCCCCCATTGACCTGAGAGCTGTCCTGTATACAGTGCTGTCCTAATGAATATGATCTGTGGCCAAGATAAATGTCTCAGCAGCTGGACCATTTGCTGGAGGAGGTTTTCTGGTCCCAATAACTAAGTTTTATTGCCAAGATCCTTGATATGCTAACAGGAAAGGGGAAGCTAATTCAGCCTCTGACGTGCAGTTGCATGTCAGGAACTTTGTTTGGACTGAAGTAGCATTCCCTAAAGAAGGAAGTGCTTCTGGAAGTGCTTTTTTTTTTTTAAAGATTTTATTGGGAAATTAGGGGAGGGGAACAGACAAATTGCTGTCCTTTTGTTCTTCAGTCTAGCTGTGGAGGACGTCGCTTCACTGTCCCATGTTGGTATTGTGATCATTGCTCTCTTCCCGGGTGAGGCAGATTGGTTGCTGGCCTCTGGACGACCACTCACAGCGGCTCTTGGCAGCTCATGCCGGCTGCCGGCCGCTCACACTGGCTGCCGGCCACACATGGTAGCTTATGGCAGCCCACTGAAGCTTCACTACAGCCTATGCCATCGCCGGCGACTCACAGCAGCCCAGCTCCAGGTCGAGCTGTTGTTCATCTTAGCTGTAGAGGGAGCAGTGTCACTGGCCCTCATGTGGGATCCGAACTGGGGCCCTGCTGCTCAAAGCTGGCGTCCCAAGCCAGCTCTTAACCAATGCGCCCCTCGGCCTGCCCTGGAAATGCTTCTTGACTTCCACCAAAATTACCCTCATGCCAGAGGAAGAGGGAGAGTGACCCTTAGAGGGTCTTGGGCAGCTCACCTCAGTGGATGTTTGAATGACATACAGTGAATGAGTGACGACATTTAGACATTTCAGGGACTTGAAAGGAAGAGATAGGATACAGAGAGGATGGAGAGTGAGGGTAGGTCAGGTATGAGACTTTTACTGGTGCAGAAGTCTCGGTCTCCCTGTTTTCAGATCCAAGTTCACCTGCATCTGTTGATACTTGTACCACCGGTTCAGAATGTCTTTCTGGTCCTCTGCTATGTAAGTGGGCTTGATTCTGAGCTCTCCTCATTGCTGGCTTAGGTTTTGGTTTGCCTGGGTCTGCCAGGTCACTTGTACTTTTCCATGTGATAACTAACTCATCCATCTGATTTTCAGCTTCCAAAATTATGTTATTCTCATCTTTCTCCTTTTACAATTGTGCCCTTCTAAAAATACTTTCATTTGCAAAACTAGATGGTGATAAAGTCAGAATAGTGGTTATCTCTTGGGGTGGAGTAGCGTATAGCCTGGGGAAGGGCATGAGGCATCTTCATGGAGTACTTTAAAATTTCTGGATGTTGATCTCGGTGGAGGTTACATGGGAAATACATATGAACTGCATACCAAATAATAGGGTATTTTATGCATTTAAGGGAATTCATGTTATACCTCAAAAAATACTCTTGCTATTGTTTTAGTAACATTTTGAGAGATAACAGAAGTAAATCCATATATTGAATTTACTGTCTTTAGAACCAGGTAAATATCAAAAAACTGGAAAACATCTAACAGTTGTCATGATTCAAACTTGTCTGGGATTATACTAGCATATTTCTATTTCTTACCTTAATCTTTGGTATAATTGAGAGCTAGAAAGTACAAGCTGAGGGCCAGCCGAGTGGCACATTGGTTAAGAGCTGGCTTGGGACACCAGCTCTGAGCAGCAGAACCCCGGTTCGGATACCACATTAGGGCCAGTGACGCTGCGCCCTTTACAGTTAAGATGGTGAACAACAGCTCGACATGGAGCTGGGCTGCTGTGGGTCGCCGGTGTTCGCGTAGGCTGCAGTGAGGCTGCAGTGGGCTGCCGTAAGCTACCCTGAGTGGCTGGCAGCAGGCGTGAGCTGCCAAGAGCCGCCATGAGTGGCTGTCCAGTGGCCAGCGAACCATCTGCCTCACTCGGGAAGAGCGCAATGATAAATACCAACATGGGCCAGTGAAGCAACGTCCTCCACAACTAGACTGAAGAACAAAAGGACAGCAACTTGTCTGTTCCCCTTCCCTGATTCCCCAACGCTGTTCCCCTCCCCCAATTCCTCAATAAAATCTTTAAAAAAAAAGAAAGTATAAGCTGATTTAATCCTATTTCACAAAGGTAACAGTTGGGTGTACATTATTCTAGATGTTTTCAAGCAAATAGTAACATACACTTCACACATATACCAGCCTGAGTATTATAGATATTCACACAAAATTAAATAATATTTGAAGAAAATTGTTATTTGCAAATGAAACATTTGTTCTTCTGATTTACAGGTATAAAGAAAGTTCTACAGAAACACAGATTATCAGGAACTTGCCGCATGATTATGTTTCAACTTGAATTTCAAATTCTGGAAGTCCAGGTAAATTAAGGATCATGTTGTGATAAGAGAGGCTTTGTTGCTATGAAATAAAAATTCCCACTCCACAGCCTCCAGCATTGGCTGGGCTGAGGAGGAGTTTATGAACCAAGATTTCCTTAGAGCACATTTCTGCAAAGTGGTGCCATTTCATGACAATTTTAAAGTAGAAATATAGTACTGCAGCCATTGCAGATGGTAGGGCTGTTGCTGAGGGTGCTTTACTGGAGGGCAGGTAGCAAGATGCCCCTGGGCTCCCAGTGCAAGGCTTGAGATCATGGGAGCAGTGCTGAGTGCCCTCACTAGTCAGCTGATGTGCCAGCCGTCTATGACTGGTTATCTATTGCTGCTTAAAAATTTTCCCCAAATTTAACGGCTTAAAACAACAACAGCAACAACATTTATTATCTCACCCATTTTCAGGGGATCAGGAATTTGGGAGCAACTCAGTTGAGTATTCATTCTTGCTTAGGGCCTCTCATGAGGTGATGGTCATCTGGGCCCACAGCCATCTGAAGACTGCTCTGGGTTGGAAGATTAGATTTCAGGGTGGGTCACGGTAAGCTGGACTGCTGAGGCACAGCACAGGAGGCAGATTCTCACATAAAGATTCCCACATAAAATCAGGAAGCAGACAGAATGGTCAGGGGCACACCTGGCCAGGATGGAACAAAAAAACAAGGCTCAGACACCGTCAAAGGCTGGATCTAAGATGAGTGGGATCCAGGCATAATTGTGAAAACTGACAGCGGTGGGCTCATGCTTTGGTAGCAGAAAGCACATTCAACCAGTCAGATTTGCCAGCTGGGCCTGCAGGTAGTGTGTGTAGAGGCCAGGAACAAGAAAGAGCAGGCAGACTACCTTGGCTTCAGCTCATCCGATAGCTCAAGTGGGTATAGACTAGTTGTCATACCAAGGCCATGGACAAGGTGCTTACTTGCAGTCATGGTTGTGGGCCCCGTTTACACATCTTTGTCCTCAGCCACAGAAATAGCCCTAAGTTTTCCCTTTTTTATGTGGGACAGGAGTTGATGTCAGGTGATCAAGACTCTGTCACCTTAGATGTCAGACAGCCACTCCCACTAGTCCAGAGCACCTGGGTGTAATTTCTGGGATAGAGGCTTTGCGTCTCAAGAACTCTTTGCAGTCTATGTCTCCGACTGTCACCACTGACCCTGGCTGGTGGAAAACGAGCTGAGGGATTTCCAGACCCCTCATCTGAGCAAGATCTCCCAGCTTGCTCTTACCTCAGAGTGTCCCCTTTCAACACTGCCAGGGCAACCAAGAACATTCACAGTGCAGTGTTGCCAAAGCTGCCGAAGCAGAATATGACACAGTCAGAAGCACAGGTGAGGAATGGCCCTCAGGGCAGTATAGTGTCCCCAGGTTGGCACCATGCCTTGGGTCATGCAGGGTCACCAAGTTGCTATCGTTGTTCTGCATGATCTCAAAGATCATCTCCTGAAGACTGAAACAGAAATGGACCCAAATGTATTAGTCTCGTTTGGGACAGACAGCCTTTGGAGTTGCTTAAGCAAATTGTAGAGTAAGTTTTCAAGGGCTAGTATGGTGGCTACATGATCATCAGGCTTTGCCATCACTCATGTAGCTTCCCAGTCATGGTGTGAATCACTTTAGCATCTCAGGCATTAGGAAGGGGAATGGACAAGCAAGGGCTTGCCTTTTCCATTGGTGGACATTTTCTAGAAGTTGTCACGCCCGTAGTTTTCACTTAGATTCTGTTGGCCAATAAGTTAGTGCAAGGGAGGCTGGAAATTTAGTCTTCATTATGCATGACTACGTGGCTAATGAAAATTTGGGGCAAGAAAGAAGTACAAAATTTGAGAATACCAGCAGTTTCTGTCCTATATGCTTCTGGGGATGCAGGAAAGAAATCTAAAGAGAGGAAGAATGGATATTCTTTGAAATTGCCGAATTGCCCAAGAGATGTGAGCTGTTATCGTTCACATTTGAAAGTGTGTAGGTGTTTTTGAACTGCCCAGCTTTACTTGCTACAGAAAACACTGTTCTCCCTTGCTGTGTTAAGAACACTCACTTTTGGGCCGACCCAGTGCCTCAGTTGGTTGGGAATTGGCTTGGGAGCACGAGCTCTGAGCGGTAGGGCCGCCGGTTCAATTCCCACATGGGCCAGTAGTGCTGCGCCCGAGCTGAGCTGCCAACAGGTGTCAGGAAAGCTCAGAAAAGGAAAAAAAAAAAAAAAAAAAAACTCACTTTCTTTGCATCCCTTTCCAATTTTATGATTTGTCTTAAGGACCACACTGGTAAAAAAGATGTTGGAAGCAATCACAAACAACTCTCAAGTCAGCAAGATTTTGGGGATAAATCACATGTGGCACTCAGGCTTTTTTGGAGAAGAAAGGAACAAAGAGGACTATCTTTTTTGTTTGTTTTGTTGCTTAGAATTCTGATGTAATGGGGTAATGAGAATTATTTTTTAAAATTTTTATTCAATACTCACATATTCTAGACCCACTTGTATAAGTGTACCTTAAGAAATATATTTCTAGTAGAATTGCTAGGTCAAAGGAGATGTATGTGTACATTCTGATTGATAGTATCAAATTGCCTTCTGAAATGGTTTTATCATTTTACATATTGAGATTTTTATAATTGAGACTGATAGAAAAAACAATGGTGAAGACACAGTAAACTTCTGTGTTCTAAAACGTTTTTTAAAAACAAAACTTCCACTGGAGGGAGATGTTTAGCTATCAGAAAATTTAAAATTTAAACAATAAAATTGCCTTACTTATAGAATGTTGTTATAATAAAATCATAGTAATACAATGTTAGAAGCCAAAGTGACCTAAAATCATATTAACGGAATATTGGAACCAAAACGACCTTATAGATTATCTAGGGCAACCTGCTTATTTTACATGTTAATATACCTGGAGGGTTTGATTCCCATGTTGGCACAGCTGCTGTAGTTAGAGGTGGTTAGAATGTGCTGTCCCCAGATTGACTGTCTGGTGTTGTTAGTGCTGCCCTGTCTGTGGAGCTGCAAGGACATCAGAATTGCCGTGCCAACATTCATACACAGTACATGTAGCGTAATGAGGGTGGCAGTTTGTTGGAAAGGGACAGATAAAGTATGTTTTTTTCATAACTTCTGTTCCTAAAACTCAATGAAATGAACAAAATGATTCAAAAATAGGGAAACTTTTAATTAAAAAGAATAAAATCCTATGTCATAGTCTCCAAGGAAAATGTATCTGATATGATGGATGATATTTGAACACGAATGAAAGAAAACACTGAAATCTGATACAGGGTGCTTCATGAGCAGTATAAAAAGTTTGCAAAGTTAACAGGACTTTTCCCCTGGATATCTCTACCCACATCCTTAAGTTGTAAAGAATGAGAACTGCGGAAACGGGAAGTTACCACAGATGCCACAGAAATACAAAGGATTATCCAAGAGTACTATGAAGGACTATATGCCACCAAATTCAATAACCTAGAAGAAATGGACATGTTCTTATAAACATATAGCCTTCCTAAGCTGAATCAAGAAGAATTGGAAAATATAAATAGACCGATCAACAGTAAGGAAATTGAATCAGTCATCTGAAACCTTCCCAAAAGCAAAAGTCTGGGACCAGATGACTTCACCAGTGAATTCTACCAAACATTCAAAGAGGATTTAACATCAGTCCTACTCAAACTCTTCCAAAAAATTGAAGAAGAGACAATGCTCCCTAACTCATTTTATGAGGCCAACATTACCCTGGTACCAAAACCTGGTAAGGATAACACACAAAAAAGAAATTATAGACCAGTATCTCTGATGAATACAGATGCAAAAATCCTAAACAAAATTCTAGCAAATTGAATGCAATGATGCATTTAAAAAATTATACAACACAACCAAGTGGGGTTCATCTAAGGGGCACGAGGATGGTTCAACATATGCAAATTGATCAATGTGATACACCACATAAACAGAATAAAGGACAAAAATCATATGATTATATCATTAGATGCAGAAAAAGCATTTGACAAGGTACAACATCAATTTATGGTTAAAACACTTAATAAAGTAGGTATAGAATGAAAATACTCAAATATGATAAAGGCCATATATGACAAGCCCTCAGCTAATATCATAATTAATGGTGAAAACCTGAAGCCCTTTGCTCTATGTTCAAGAACATGACAGGGCTGTCCTCTATCACCTCTGCTTTTCAACATAGTGTTGGAAGTCCTAACCAGAGCAGTCAGGCAAGAGATAGGAATAAAAGGCATCCAAATAGGAATGAAGAAGTTAAATTGTCACTTTTTGCAGATGACATGATGCTATATATAGAAAACCCTAAAGACCACCAAAAAATTATTAGAAACCATAAACGAATAAAGTTGCCAGCTACAAAATCAACATACAAAGTCTATTGCATTCCTATATATCAACAATGAAACCTCAGAAAAAGAAATAAAAAAACCCAATTCCTTTTGCAATTGCAGCAAAAAGAATAAAATCTAGGAATAAGCTTAACCAAGGAAATGAAAGACCTATACACTGAAAACTATAAGACATTTTTAAAAGAAATTGAAGAAGACACAAAGAAATGGAAAGACATTCCGTGTTCATGGATTAGAAGAATCAACATAGTTAAAATGGCCCTATTACCCAAAGCGATATACAAATATAATGCAATCCCCATCAAAATCCCAATGTCATTTTTTAAAGAAATGCAACAACAAAAAAATCATCAGATTTGTATGGAACCACAAAAGACCCCAAATAGCTAAAGCAATCCTAAGAAAAAAGAATAATGTTGGAGGTATCACACTCCCTGATTTCAGCTTGTACTACAAGGCAACAATAATCAAAACAGTATGGTATTGGCAGAAAAACACACACAGACCAATGGAATAGAATCGAGAACCCAGAAATAAACCCTCATAAATATGGATAGATAATTGTTGACAAAGAAGCCAAAAACATACAATGGAGAAAAGACAGCCTCTTCAATAAATGGTGCTGGGAGAATTGGAGAGCCATGTGCAAAAGAAGGAAACTAGACTGCTATGTATCACCATATACCAAAACTGACTCAAAATGGATCAAAGACCTAAGCATAAGACCTGAAACAAGAAACTGCATAGAAGAAAACATAGGTACTAAACTTATGGACCTTGGGTTCAAAGAGGATTTTATGAATTTGACCTCAAAGGCAAGGGAAGTAAAAGCTAAAATAAATGAATGGGACTATATCAAATTAAAAAGCTTCTGCACAGCAAAATAAACCATCGACAAAATAAAGAGGTAACCAACTGAATGGGAGAAGATTTTTGCAAACGCCTTCGAAAAGGGGCTAATATCCAAAATATATAAGGAACTCATACAACCCAACAACAAAGAAACAATCCAATTAAAAAATGGGCAGAGGACCTGAATAACATTTCTCCAACGAGGACATACAAATGGCCAATAGACATGAAAAAATGCTCAACATCACTAATCATCAGAGAAATTCAAATAAAATCTACAATGAGGTATCACCTCACACCAGTTAGAATGGCTGTCATCAACAAGACAAATAATAAGTGTTGGAGAGGCTGTGGAGAAAAAGGCACCCTCATACCCTGTTGGTGGGAATGTAGATTGGTACAGCCACTATGGAAGGTAGTGTGGAGATTTCTCAAAAACTTAAGAATAGAATTACCATATGACCCAGCAATCCCTGTCTTGTGTATCTACCCAAGAAATCTGAAAACATTTATCCGTGAAGATATATGTACTCCGATGTTCATTGCAGCTTTATTTAGGGTGGCCAAGACATGGAAACAACCAGTGTCCTTTGATAGATGATTGGATAAAGAAGATGTGGTATATATACACAATGGAATACTATTCTGCCACCAGAAAAGATGAAATAGTGCCATTTGTGACAACATGATTGGATCTTGAGATTATAATGCTAAGTGAAATAAGTCAGACAGAAAACGCTGAGAACCATATGATTTCACTGATATCTGAGACATAAAACTGAAAACAACAAAGGAACAAAGATATGCAAATGAAGAAAAAAAACCACATAGACACAGACAAAAGTTTAGTGGTTACCAGAAGGTAGAGGGTCTTGGCATAGAATTAACCCCTGGTCATTTGCAGAATGTAAAAGAATTTACGAGACTCTACAAGAGTATCCAGAGAATGGGTTTATTGAAAGTCAAAAAGGGAGAGAGAGTTCTGTTTGGAACTGGCAGTTTTGCCAGGGCAGTTTGAGAGGGAGATCTGCAGAGACAGAGAGAGGTATTGGCAGCAGTTTAGCCAGGGCAGAGTCTGATGGGGGGCAGCTGCACCCATGAGGAATGCTGGGGTTTTATATTTTTCCAAGCAGGATGTAGGGTGCTTGTCAATTTGCGGGGGGCGGGGGGGGGCTGCCATTACAATTGTCTTCTCCTGGGAACTGTCCTGTTCCCATCTATGATGGATGTCAGCTCGCAAGGGGTTGCTGTAATGATTGGGAACTGTTCTGTTCCCATCTACGATGGGTGTTTGTTAGTGTGCCGGGGGTTGCTGTTGCGATTGGGAACTATTTTGTTCCCACCTATGATGAATGTCAGGTGCTTGTCAGCTTGCAGGTGCAGTGCTGGCCAGGGGAGTCAGAGCCAAGTGGTTAATGTTTAAGCTCGCTCTTGGCAGCTCACAAACCCACTCCTGTTAACTCTTTTACTTGTCTCATTAGTGGGGAGGGGGGTAGTAGATGAGGGTAAAATGGATCATATATATGGTGATGGAAGGAGAACTGACTCTGGGTGGTGAACACACAATGTGTTATATAGATGATGTATTACAGAATTGTACACCTGAAACCTATGTAACTTTACTAACAGTTGTCACCCCAATAAACTTTAATTAAAAAAAAAAAGAACTGCGGATTGTGGTAAGAAGTGTGCTGCTGAGGCTCTGGCTAGGGCTTTGAGATCAGCTTATTTATAAGCTCCCTTCCCTGCTTTACCAACTTGGGAAGGTTGATGTGCTTAGCAGTATGACACGCAGATGGGCCAACAGTATCTTGAAGTCAGCTTTCCAGTGACTGTACAGAACCCAGACTGACCAAAGAAAGAAAATAGAGGGGGCAGTAAGTCATAGGCTTTATGCCGACAGGATTATTTGCCTATCCTAACGGGTAAAAGGCGAAAATCGACATACTCATATTCGAACAAAAGATAAGACTCTGAGATTTTTTTCTTTTTCTTTTTTGTAACAATTCTATTGAGATATAATTCACATACCATGTAATTCAACCATTTAAAGTATACATTCAGTAATTTTTAATGTATTCACAGTTGTACAGCCATCACCACATCAATTTTAGAAAATTATCACCTCAAAAAGAAACCTCATACTCCTTATTACCCCTCAATCCCTCTCCTTCTGCCCAGACCTAAGCAACAGCTAATCTATTTTCCATCTATATGGATTTGCCTATTTCAGACATTTCATATAAATGGAATCATAATTTGTTGTCTTTTTGATTGGCTTCTTTCACTTAGCATGTTTCCAATGTTCATTAATGTTGTCGCATGTATCATTATTTCTCTTTTTCTTTTCTTGGCCGAATACTATTCCATTTTGAGAATATATCACATTTTGTTTATTCATTCATCAGTTGATGGACATTTGAGCTGTTTTCACTTTTTGGATGTTATGAATAATGTTGCTATAAACATTTATGTACTAGTTTTTAAGTAGACATGTTTTCATTTTTCTTGGATATATATATATATATATATATATATGAGTAGAATTACTGGGTCAAATTGGACTCTCAGATGATGGCTAATGATGCTGAGCATCTTTTCATATGCTTATTGGCCATTGTATATCATCTTTGAAGAAATGTCTGTTGAGATCCTTTGCTCTAATTGGGTTGGTTTTTATTACTGAGTTGAAGAGTGCCTCTGGAATGTATGTTTCTGATTATAGTGGTAGATGCCCACAGATAGCATACTGAAACTGCAGCTGTTCCTAACAATTCCCACTATACTCTCAAACACCTGAAAAACTAAACAATTATAAACCATCAATATCCACTTCCCCAGCAGCTCAAGATACAAAGAGACAAATCAGATAGTTCTTAGACAAATGGAGAAGAGTCAAGGAGTATCCACTCACTCTGTTCCTAGGAAATAGCAACTATTTCTAGACCTACTTCTGTTAATGAGTAGGAGCCACAGAGTTCAAAGCACAAAGATGGTACAGAGCTCTTCATCCTTTAGGACCTACCTGTGCAAAAACACTATTATGAAAGAAGTTCATAAGAAAATGTGAGATAAATTCACGTTGGAAGAGTTAACCAGGAAATACAAGAACATGCTATATAAAAATTGCTCTGACTCTCAAATGAAAGGCATTTAAAGAAAATTAAATAAGAATAAAAGAGAGCTCAGAGGGATGGAAGGAAGGAAGGAAGGAAAGAAGGAAGGAAGGAAGGAAGGAAGGAAGGAAGGAAGGAAGGAAGGAAGGAAATAATGATCATAGTGCTGTGCTGAAAACTACATTGGAAGACAGGAGTAGAATATAATATGGAAGATAGGCTTGAGAAAAATCACCTGTAAGAGCATTTGAAAAGAAGAAAAACCTGGAAGATAGACAATAGAGAGTCAATACAGGATTTTTCCAAAACCAAGAATATAAAAAAAAGTGAAAGAAATTATAGGCAAATATGTGATAGAATAAAATCTACTCGAATGAAGATGAAAACCTGAATTTGCAGTTCAAAACGTAACAGTTTATTTAGCAGTCCTCATTGTTGACTATAGAGTTGTTTTAGGATTTTTGTAATAAGTAACCTGAAGTTTTTGTCTTCATTTTTTATTACTTTAGGATTCTTATAAGTTAAATAGCTGAGACAGAGACTATGAATGCTTTAAGTTATGCATTGCATAAATGATTTTATAGCAAAAAAGGTCATCTTATTGCTTTAATGTACATTTATTTTATTACTAGTGAGAGCGAACATTATTTTCCATGTAAATTGTCATTTATCTGAGTTTTTTGTTCATGTCCTTTGCCTTTTTCTTTGCAGTTTTCCTATCTTCTTGTTATGCTTATGGTAAAAATTTTTCTTAATTTATTGCTTCTCTTTTAGTTATAAAGTCATTTTTATATAGATATTTTGAGTTTCTTATGTAATCATATTTGCTTATTTTTTCCTATTACCTTTTGCTTAGAGAGTTCCTCTTTGCCCAGTTATCTGTTAAATGTCTATATTTCCTAGTAATATTTTATGGTTTCAGTGTTTATATTCAGGTAACAATTCATTTGGAGTTCATTTTGGTTTTTAGTATGGAGCAAGGATGTGATTTTATTCTTTTAACAAATAACCAATATTTTCAGTACCTTCTGTTGATCACCTTTTTCTATTACTTGGTGGCACTTTATTTTTCATATCTTTAAGTTATTTTTATCTTTTTATTTTATTTAAAAGTTTACTGTGCTCTGATGCTTAAACATTTTTTTTAAATTTTAGAATAAGGAGAATTTATCTTCTGCTATTACTGACCTCAACATAATAATGGAGCCCACTGCATATTCAGAATTAAGTGAATTTGTCTCTAGGTAAGATATTTTACAAATTGATTAATTAATTAAGTAAGTAATTTTATTGGGGAACTGAGGGAAGGGAACAGCGTTGGGGAATCGGGGAAGGGGAGCAGACAAGTTGCTGTCCTTTTGTTCTTCAGCCTAGTTGTGGAGGATGTCGCTTCACTGGCCCATGTTGGTATTATCATTGCACTCTTCTCTGGTGAGGCAGTCGCGTGCCATCCATTGGACAGCTGCTCATGGTGGCTCATGGCAGCTCACGCTGGCTGCCAGCCACTCAACAGTAGCTCATGGCAGCCCTCTGCAGCAGGGGCTACAGCCTACGCCACCGCCGCAGGCAACTCATGGCAGCCCAACTCCAGGTTGAGCATCCAGGTTCACCATCTTAGCTGTAGAGGGCGCAGCATCACTGGCCCTCATATGGGATCCGAACCGGGGCTGTGCAGCTCAGAGCTGGCGTCCCAAGCCGACTCTTAACCAACGCACCACTCAGCCAGCCCACAAATTTATTTTTTTAGGGATTTTTTTCACTCTATACTTTTGAGTTTACCTGTTCTCTCTTCTCGATAAGTATCAAAATATCTCTGAAAGCATGACACCATTATTATGTTTAAAACTATATTCTCTATTATACTGTCATTCAATAAAAATTTATTATACATTCATTATGCCCTAGGCATTAAAATTAAAATGTGAGCAAAAACAGATGTAACCCTTGATCTTTATGGAATTTGTAGACTGGTGGAGATGTCAGGTATTAAATAATCACAGAAATCTAAAATTGTGCCTGTGTTAAATGCTACAGAGAAGAGCTGTGTAATCCTGTTGAAGCATATACACATACATCTGGGATACTTTCTGGGCTAACATGGAATGATTTCCTGAAAGTTGAGTTGACATCTGAAAAATTAGTAGGCGAAAACAAAGAGATCTTCGACAGAGTAGCTTATGCATAGGAACTGTGGTAGGAGGGGGCATGGAATCTGTGAGCACCTGGCAGGAGGCCCGAGGATTAGAGGAGTGTGATATAAGATGAAGCTAGCCAAGTATGGAAGGTCCACATTGTGTGGACTTTGGTGTAAGGAGTTTGGTCACAGTCCCAAGACCAATGTGAAGCTATGGAAAGTTTGAAGCAGAGTCTAAGGAAGGCAGAAGTGTGACGCCCTAGAATTATTCTGGATGCTGCAGGGAGAAGAGATTGAAGGGGTGCCATAGTGGATGCAGGAGGGTGAATGACTAGGCAGTTAAGACCGTTCAAGCAACAGAAGTTTGTAGTTTGGACTAGAATAATGGTAGTTGAAGTAGAGGGCTGGATGGGTTTGGGGGATATTTAGGAAGCACAATTGAGTGGGCATAGTGTTGGTTTAATAAAAGGGGTCAGGAGTCATTGACGGAATAATTTCTTGATGACGATAATTGCATTTGTTGAAACGGAAAGTTGGAAGAGGACCAAGTCAGATGAGATTGTGACATGCTGAACTTGAATGTCTGTGAAACACTGAAATAAAGGTATGAAGTAAGCAGCTCAGAAAAGATGTTGGTAGGAGATATGAGAGTTATCTGACAGTGCATAGAAGTTAAAGACTTGAGCAGGAATGAGATTGCCTATGGAAAGAAGATAGAGTGACGATAGGAAAAGGACTGGAACTGAACCATGAGGAATTCTAAAATGAACTGCTGAAGAGATGAGAAAGATCCTGCAAAGGAATTAGAAGAGGAACTTTGAGAGGAGGGAGGAAAACCAGGAACGTGTTGTTGACTTTTGACAACTGCCTTGACCCTTTTCCTTCCAGTGTTTTCTGGACTGCATAGTGGTGACAAGTCTGTTCATATTGTTACTTTCTGCGTGTGTGTTTTTTGGGCGCCTTCAAACCTTTCTCAATTTTTCTTTTCCACACTTTGTGCTATATTTAGGGTGTATTTGTGTGAAAGTTTCCTACCATATCTTTTCAAATACTTCTTCTGTCCTGTTCTCAATTCTTCACCTCTAATTACACATATGTTAGACAATTTGATGTATTGTCTCAGTGTTTGCATGCTCGGTTCTGTTTCTTTCACTCTTTTTTTTTTTTCTTTCACATTTCAGTTTGGATAATTTCTATTACCCTATCTTCAAGTTTACAGATTCTTTCCTCAGCTGAAGTCCAGTCTGCCAATGAACCCATTAAAGGAATTCTTCATCTCTAATGTAATGTTTTTTAGTTCTACCATTTTCATTTGAATTGGAATTTCTCTTTCTGCTGAAATTCCCCATTTGTTCATGCATATTGTCCAACTTTTCCACTAGATCTCTTAATATATTAATCATAATTATTTTTTCTTTAATGTTTTATTATAGAAAATTTCAAATATATGTAAAAATTATAGTATAGTAATTAACCTGCAGTTACCCATTAGGCACCTTCAGCAATTATCAATATTTTGCCAACCTTAGTTAATCTATTCTTACACATGTGGGGTTTTTTTTTTGTTTTTTTTTTAAGCTGAGCCATCCTGCCACCTGTTGGCAGCTTAGCGGCTGGTCAGCTCGGGCTGGGAATCGAACTGCTGTTGCTCAGAGCTGAAACTCTGGAGCGAGCTCTTAACCAACTGAGCCACTCAGCCAGCCCACACACATGTGGTTTTTAACTTTTAATTCTGAAATAATTATAGGTTCACAGGAATTTCCAAAATAATCAATATACAAGGAGATTTCATACACCCTTCATCCAGCATCCAACAATGGTAACATCTTGTTTAATTGTAGTATACTAACAAACCTAGAAACTTGACAGTAAAACCCACAGAGCTTTTTCAGATTTTACTAGTTTTATAAGAACTTTGTGTGTGTGTGTATGGTCTATGCAATTTTATCACCTGTATAGCTTTATGAAACCACCACCACATTCAAGATACAAAACTATTTCATATTCCTTTATACTAGCTCCTGTTTTTTCCTCAATTATTTTTATTGTGGTAAAAATATACCTAACGTAAAATTTACCTTATTAACCATTTTTAAGTGTAAAGTTCAGTGGCATTAAATACATAACATTATACTACCATCACCATTATCCGTCTCTATAACTCTTCATCTTGTAAAAATGAAAGAGTATATCTATTAAACAATAATCCCCCATTCTCCTCACCCCAGCCCCTAGCAACTATCATTCTTTCTGTCTCTATGATTTTTTTTTTTTAAGATTTTTATTGGGGAATCGGGGGATGGGAACAGTGCTAGGGAATTGGGGGAAGGGGAACAGACAAGTTGCTGTCATTTTGTTCTTCAGTCTAGTTGTGGAGGAGGTTGCTTCACTGGCCCAAGTTGGCACCATCATTGCGCTCTTCCTGGGCGAGGCAGATCAGTCGCCGGCTTCTGGATGGCTGCTCACTGTGGCTGCTGGCCGCTCACGCTGATTGCTGGCTACATACGGTAGCCCATGGCAGCCCACTGCCACAGGGGCTGCAGCCTACACCGTCGCCGGCGACTCACGGCAGCCCAGTTCCAGGTGGAGCCTGTTTTCAGCATCTTAGCTGTAGAGGGCAGTGTCACTGGCCCTCATATGTGGGATCCGAACCGGGGCCCTCTGACGTCCCAAGCAAGTTCTTAACCATCGTGCCACTTGGCTGGCCCTGTCTGTATGATTTTTAAAAAAAATTTAATTTGGGGAATTGGGGAAGGGGACCAGCCAAGTTGTTGTTCTTCAGTCTTAGTTGTAGAGGGCGCTATTCACTATCTGGCTGTCCGTCAGCAGCTTGTGGCCTCTAAGCTCAAGGTGCTGTGTTCAATCTTAGTTGCAGGTGGGTGTAGCCACCATCCCATGGGGGAGTCGAACCTGCAGTCCTGTTTTTAAGAGTGCATGTCCTAGGGCCGGCCGAGTGGCACGATGGTTAAGAACTGGCTTGGGACGCCAGAGGGCCCCGGTTCAGATCCCACATATGAGGGCCAGTGACACTGCCCTCTACAGCTAATATGCTGAACAACAGCTCAACCTGGAGCTGGGCTGCTGTGAGTCTCCAGCGATGGCGTAGGCTGCAGCCCCTGCTGCAGTGGGTTGCCATGGGCTACCATGTGTAGCCAGCAGCCAGCATGAGTGGCCAGCAGCTGCCGTGAGCAGCTGTCCAGAAGCCGGCGACTGATCCGCCTCGCCCTGGAAGAGTGCAATGATGGTGCCAACTTGAGCCAGTGAAGCAATGTCCTCCACAACTAGACTGAAGAACAAAAGGACAGCAACTTGTCTGTTCCCCATACCCCAATTCCCCCACCCCCATCCCGAAAAAAAAAAGAGTGCACGCTCTAGCCACTGAGCCATTCAGGCGACAGCTCAGCTCAAGGTGCCGAGTTCAGTCTTAGTTGCGGGTGGGCATAGCCACCGTCCCATGCGGGAGTTGAACCAGCAGCCTTGTTTTTAGCAGCGCATGCTCTATCCACTGAGCCATCCTGGCGGCAGCTCAGCTCAAGGTGCTAAGTTCAGTCTTAGTTGTGGGTGGGTGTAGCCCACCATTGAATAGGCAGTCTTGTTAGGAGCATGTGCTCTCACCAGCTGAGCCATCCTGCCACCTGTTGGCAGCTCAGTGACAGCTCAGCTCGGGTGCAGCGTCGCTGCCACATGTGGGAATCAAACTGGTGGCCCTGTTGCTCAGAGCTTGCGCTCTTAAGCTAACTCCTAACCAACTGAGCCACTCAGCCGGCCCCTCTATGATTTTTAATTATAGTTATTTTAAAGTCCCTGTCTGATAGTACTAACATCTGAATCATCTTTGAGTCTAATTTTTCTGATTATTTTAAAATGGGTGGTTTGTTCCTTGAATTTTTGTCTTATAATTTTTTATTGAATGATGGGCATTATCTGTGGAAAAACAGTAGAGACTGAAGCAGATAGTATTTATGCCAAAAGAAACAGGCACCTTTATTTTATCAGGCAGTTAGTATGGGTGTTAATTCAAGATAGTCAGCAGCTGAGCTGGGTTTGTGATTTTTGTTGCTTTCATTACCTTCAGGCACCACAAGCTTCAAATTCTTCCAGCAGTGAATT